CAGCCGATGGTCGCTCTCCGCTCGTATTAATCGACCGTGGCATCAGAAAATTGCCGAAAATTATCGCGAAAATATTCTGGAGGGTTTATTAATGCCTTGGGCACGCAAACATTTTGGGCGCATACCTTGGACATTCCAACAGGACTAAGCAACATGGCACTCAGCACGCGCCACCCAAGAATGGTTACAAAATGAGGTTCCTCGCTTCATTTCCTGCGCAAAATCTCCGGATACCAATGCGTTGGACTTTTGTGTCTGGAGTATTTTGGAAAGCAAGGTTGGCACTAAAAAATACCAAAGTGTCGATCACCTCAAGCAAGCGCTTCGCCGAGAATGGGCCAAAATATCGCAGAGCTACATTCGGGCCGCGTGTGACGGTTTTATTGGCCGTTTGAAGGCTATAGTTCGTGCCAAAGGTGACCAATTCGAACAAATCTAAACTTATTCTAAAATTTGATGCTATATCCGATTTTTTTTTGTTTTCATTCGATAAAATTAAAAAAATGTAAAAATTTGACTTTGTTGTAGTTTTTTTTATCTCACCCTCTATATACGTTATTTTTAAAATTTTAACAGAATTTATAACGAATTCTATTATTTATTTATTTTTTTTTTTTTTTGGAAAATTTCCAAATTTTTTTTCCAAATGTTGGAGGATATTCAAAATTCAGCCCGGCCGAACTCTTTGCTTTTTCGATTGTTATTATACGTATTTTGTACTCGATCATCCCGTTCCCACCACAATTCCCACAGCATTATCAAAACACTAATCGGCAAACAAAATATTATTTTCCACTCTTAGAGCAAACTCTCGAGCGATTAGGCTCCTACTCTAATTTCACAAGTAGGAGCGTCTTACAAAACCGATTTTTTATATCTATATCGCTTAAAATGCAAAATAGGACACTGAGACCCAACAAAGCTCCATTGGTAGTGGGGTGCTTTTTTAAATATATATTTGGGCATGATTCTCTCTTCTCTATTCTCTCTCGCTCTCTCGCTCTCTTCCCTAAGAAAACCATCCAGGTCTTTCAAATCCTTTTAATTAGCCATTATCATAACTATAATGGGACTTAATTAACATGCTTAACCACAAACAAGAGGACAACAGGATAACGGGAATTCAACTCGAAAACACATGCACAAACACACATTTCCTTTGTGCGAAGGTCCCTGCTATCCTACTTCAAATAAAAATAAAAAACGAAACAGCAGCTACTTTGTGTGAAAACATAAATGAGGGTTTGTACAACTTAATTGCCGGTCATTGTTGTTGCTGTTAAATAGCCACATTGGCTATGACGCTAACTGGCCAAGGGCTATTAATAAGACCACTTGCTATGGAGTGTTGAGGGAGGCCAACAAACTTAAGGAAACAGAGGGGGTAGGAAGGTGGAGATGGAGAATGCGTTGCTTTGCGTTTTTTCCATTAACATTTTATAACCTGAAAAACGAAATCTTAACGGAGTTTTTCTACGCTGACCTTTAGTGGTTCCTATTTTTTTTTTTTGGAGTAGTTTTTTTTTCGCTTCGAGGTAAAACAGCTGGTCCTTGGGGTGCGGGGGCGTATATGACTGATTTGAAATGAAATAAAAAAAATAAAATTTATAGGATTTTCATGCATGTTGACAGGCGTTGCACAATAAAACCATTCAAAAAAGGGAACGGAAACGGAAGTAATTCGCTGGGCTTTCATGAAAGAGAATGTGATCGAATTTGCATATCTCGAAGAGTTGTCGTCGTTTTTTTTTCGTTTCAATGTCCTTTTCAAGGAGGAACAACAAAAAAAGGCATTAGATATTTGGTCGCCAAAAAGTTTGACTTACATGAGCTTTGTGGTTTTGGTTCCAATACGAAAATTTGGAATTGTGGTCAAGTGCTGGCTGTCGAATTTGCATAATTTGCCTTTTTATTACAACAATCAACGACATGCAATGCAGAAAAGAATTCATTTAAGTCGGTTCAGGTTATAAATTAAATAGAAGTATGGTTTAAGATTGAGGATCGCACTTTTTGGGGGGTTGAGGGCATAGGACTTAAGTGTGTAAAAATGTGTGAGAGAGAGAGAGAGTTTGTGGGAGAGTAAAGTCGTCTGAAAAACTAGAAAAAGTTTGATTTCTTATTACGTGCCTGGATGGATGGTATATGGGTCACCCAATATATCCAGATTTTGGTGGAGAAAAATTAAACTAAAGAAATTCCGACGTGAAGGAAGTAAAGGTGAGCAGATATTTGAGAAATAATAAAAACCTAAATTAATTCGGTTGAAAAATGTCTCTAGCGGACTCAAAATATCTTCAATCTGAAAATATTGTTACATTCTTGGTATTTGGGGGTGGATTCCGTTAGAAATTGTCACTAGGTATTTCAGAATATCAACAATTGAGCAGTGTGTTCATTAAAAAGTATTTCAAAACTTCGATTTGTAATAAATATAAATATGTGGGTAGGAAGTGATAAAGGGTATGGTTATCAAAATATGAAATTGCCGACATTTCGGCTGGAAAATGTGGTTAGAACATGAAAACAAATAAAACCGGTAGGTACAGCCATAAGGGGTTAACATCAAAAAGTTCACATATTTTGAACAACTTTTGGAGGGTGATTCTATTCTCTTGGAGTAATAATAAAAAAAATAGAGCAAATTTTGGTTCCAATTTTCGAAATGCTGAAAATTAGGATCTATACGGAAATGTTTTGGCATGGCTGGCTCCAATTCGATTTTAGGCCATTTTATTGAATATTCTGGCGAACTTCTAAAATGATCGGAAATAAGGGTATACTTTTATATAGGGTCTATATAAAATTGAGGGATGAAGAGTTGTTTTGATTTGAAAGTTTGAGATCCAAATTTAGCTAATTTGATTAGAAAATATGAGATGAAAAAACTGCAAGCAGCTTCAGACTGCTGTCATTTCTAAGCCACTCGTCCGGTATCTGTTAAAATTATTCCAGTGACAGCTCATTATATTAGTTACAAGCTTACAAGAGCATTTTGGGTTAGAATTTTCCAGAAAAAAAGTTATTCGTGGTTATGGTAAAGAAGCGACTTGATCGAAACCCGCGTCGCAGTGGCCGAAAAAATGGCTCGTGAGCTGAACATACCATTCGGCAAATATTGAAAAATGAGCTCGAGGTACAGCCACTGAAATTCCAAAAAGTGCAAGAACTTACACCGCAACAGAAAGAAAATAGACTCAAAAGAGCTAAAGAGCTGCGGCCAAAATACCGCAGATCAGCATTCGGGCAGTGTGTGACGGTTTCATTGGCCGTTTGAAGGCCGTAATTCAAGCCAAAGGTGACCAATTCGAACAAATCTAAACTTGTTCTAAAATTTGATGCTATATCCGACATTTTTTGCTTACATTCAATTAAATTTAAAAAAAATGTAAGAATTATGACGTTTGAATTTGTTGCAGTTTTTTTATCTCACCCTGTATATTTAAACCTTCGCAATGCTTAAAATATGAAACGCTCCTCCCCGCAAAATTTTGGCATGTGCTACTTTTAGCATTACTTGTAATGACTCACATACTCTCTGCATTACCAGTGTTCCAAAAATAATGAGGACTACTTACCATCTGCATTATTAGTGGGCAAAAAAAAATGAGTTGTTCCCATAAATTATACAAGGCAAAAAAAAACTTACTTCTACAACACCAGCTAAAGAGTAACGGAAGCACAGAGTAAATCCATCTGACCCAATAACCTAAGGAAGCTCTTTCAAATCTCCACACTTTTAAAACTAGGATTGCAAACAAAAAAAAACGACTGATTTTTGTAGGTACTTATCGGCTCTTGTTTATGTTTTGATACTACTTCTTATGACATGCCCAGGTTAAAATAAGGGGTTAGTAGGCAGTTTTGTAAGGAGATAAGCCAAAATGTATTAATTAATGCATTATTATGTAATGAGATTATTTTCTAGGTTCATATGGGGCCTATTATAAATAGTGAGGACAGAATCTACTTCCTAAGAACACGAAATCTCAATTTAAAGCTGAGCATGTTGGAAAATGCAGGGTGATTCCTTCATGAAAAACAGAAAGTAAGTGTTACCTCTATTTGAGGGGTATATCGAAATTTGAAGCAGCATTGCCATTATAGACAAAGTTCTGTTAAATATGGACTCCATCTTGATTCCAACAGATTTCATAGATATTTTATGCCAAAGTGAATATTAACTCTTGGCCAGTGACGTACCCTGAGGGGGGGGGAAGCTGGTACCGGGTTCTCTCCAAAATTTTCTGATTTTTAATAGTTATATGGAAAGTTTTTTCTTGCTAGAGGGACCCTCTAAGTGGTCCGAAATACATTTCTTGGTAGGTAGCCAGAACGTATGCAGTAGGAGGGGTTTAGAGATTGGGCTGGGTCCTCTTCGCAATGGTTACTTTGCTGACATTCTTGGTACATTGGAAATGTCCTTTTTTTTTGCTTGTTGGGTCCCCTAAATTCTTCTCCAAGTGCAATCCTGACTATTGCACACAACTCGTTGTACACAAAAATTTATTTCGAAACCATTTCGACGACCAACTGGACAAAACAATTATTTTTCCTGCAAAACGTACAAAAAAATTCAAAAACCATATCCATTTCGGAGCGAGTTCGGGCCCTCTGCTTTCATCGTATGGTGGCGGGTTTATTTCCATTCAAATTATTTTTAATTCCGAATGGTTTAAAATTTCCATATGGTATGTCCCATGGAATGGAATTCTTGAAAATTTCCATATGGACTGTCCCATATCAGTTTGTATAATCCTTACAAATAAATATGGGACATTCCATAAGGGTTTTTTTTTTCAAAAAAAATGCATTTAAAGTCATTATCGATTTTATAATAAAAATTGATTTCAATTTTAAAATCTAGGAGAAAAAACGTTTAATTTTTATATTCTTGTTAGAAACCAACAACAAAAAGAAACATAAGCATTCTCTAAACATTTATTTCTAAACTGAATTAATTTTTTTTTTTGTTTTTTTTTTTCATGATTTAATTTCAGTCATAAACACCGCAAGTTCGTGGAATAAAAAGGCATAAAAACAACTCCAACGTAAATAAATACCTTACGCTAACACGCCGGCTCAAATCGTCAACTCAATCCAGTTTTAAGAAGCATCTATCCATCCATCCATCCAGTCATTCAGTCATCCAATACCATTCACCCGTCATTTTTGTCGTGGCCGTAGTCGGCGGCGTCGTCATCATCATCGCCCCCTTGGACATTCTATCCTTGGAATAGCTGGCACAACAACGGAATAGCGTATAACGGCAGACGACGAAGTCAACGCTCATAAAAATTCAAGCAAACCGATTTGCTTTGGGTGTGCGTGCGTGTGTGTGTTTGTGTTTTTATAGCTTCCAAAATACTCTCTCTGGACTTTGGAGATACCATAGCTGTGATTAGACGACCGTTGACGTCTCATTAAAACGTAACGCTCACGCTTAGAGGCTCCAAAGAATACAGCGACAGCAGAATGCCGCATACAGGTAAGTCCCAACAAAATAAGTATTTAAAGAGGAAGGAGGGAGAGGGAGAGGGGGAGAAAGGGTATTTTTTAGGGGCAATAATGACGCCATTGTAACCATTTCAATTTAATTTTTATTACAACAAATAAAACTAAACCGAAGTGAACAGTCTTCAGTTGCAGTGGAAATGGAAACGGAGAAGTGGCTTAATTTTGAGACAGAGATTTATTTCAATCTTGGCTCCCCGGAGCCATTAAATAATTTAACACCGTTACACAAAAATGCTACTTAGTGCGATGTGGTGTGGTGTGGTGTGTAGGAGTTGCCAGCATCTTTTCTCCCCACATTTAATGTTCGCAAGAGGCATTACAACTTATAATTATCTCAGTACTTAAAAGACCATGTAATTCTTTAATTGTTTGGACCAAGAAAAACAGGCCACCACTTTTATGACCCCTTACCATATTCACGCAACACCAAGCATTTGGTCTCCCCGCGCCAGCAAAAGGAAGAGGGGAAATATTAACTCTTTTAGCCATGTTATCATCATAAACGCAAAACCAAGACCAGTTTCATAATGGCCAATATGTCTGTGTGTGACTCCACCAAAACCGCTCACGAATATCAGCCCGCAAAAAATAAGAACAACAACAACAGTAACGGCATAAACAAAGGCAATTTCGTTTCACGGTTATTATTATTTACGATTAAATACTCTCAGGTATCCCAAATGGATTTTTGTTTTTGCCAAGCACCTTGTTTCCTTCTTTTGAAGGTTTTCTGTGTGTCTATCGTTGAGGTGAAATATGAGAAAATATGTCCTTGTTTGAAAGAGGTTGTATGTTAAAACCATAATTTTTGAATGATTTTTGAGAATTTTATACTCTAAAAAAAACTAGAACAGCTAGAGTATATAAACCAAGTAAGTTCGGCCGGGCCGAACTTTGAATACCCTCCACCATTTGGAACGAATTTGGCAATTCTCAAAAACAATAAAATTCTGTTAAAATCTTAAAAATTGCGAATGTAGCTGTTATATTAGGGTCTATACGACGACATGAATCTGCATAGGTAACATTCGTCATGAGCCATTACAATATTCAAATGCGAAACTTAAAAAAAAATCGGTTATAATGTCGATAAAATCAAAATACCGAATATCGGGAGGTACCGTTATATGGGGGCTATATACCAAAACGTGGACCTACATTGTCCATTTTCAATACCAAAAGTCCTGCAGACAAAATTTTATCAATCTACTTCAATTCGTTCGGAAGCAAGAGTGATTTCCACAGACGGATAGACGGACAGGCGGACGGACATCGCTAAATCGACACAGAATTTTATGCTGATCAAGAAAATATATACTTTGTGGGGTCTAAAATGTGTATTTCGAGGTGTTACAAACGGAATGACAATCTTAATATACACTCCATACTATGTTTGAGGGTATAACAAACACCTTGAAGAGCATTGTCTCCAATCGGTACTAAAAAGTATAAAATAGTTCAGGCTGTTTTTTTGTTTTGGCACACAAAGTCCCTCAATCCAGAGCAACATCAAAAACAATTTGCTACCGCTGCGCACGAAAAAAATTAAAAAAAAATTAAATTTAGTTTTACCCTCGATATCACTCTTAGAGTAAACCTCGTACTCTATTTGGAAATTTTAACTCACATTCTTAATTTTCAAACATGAGTACTAGTATCCACATGTTAGAAAAAATTAGAGAGTAAATTCTTGAAAAACTCATTCTCTTTGAGCATTCTCACTCGCGAGAAAAAAACAAGCAAAATTGAGCTCTGGTGTACTCTTTAAAACGATTTTTGAGAACTCTGTAGCCTAAAATTCAAAACATGCTAAGAAATGACTTCGAGAATATAAAATGCATATTTTTTTTTTTTTTTGATTTATACCAAAAATAAAGATTTGGAGTTCTTAAACGATAAATGTGTCATTTATGATTTCTTCTGGGGTAGTAAGTTTTGACGAACTTTTATATGTTAAAATGGTACTACGGTGCATTACTTATAGAAAATAGAGGTGAATTAAATATGGAAGCTATAACTAAGTCTCAACTGACAATCACAACTTTCGTCCAAAAATCTGGTTACTTTGCGGTGCTTAATTTCAAAATGATTGGACTTCCAATTCTATCTGTACTTTAATTTTGAAAGAGATTTTATGAGGGTATTAAGACCGATATATAGATCAAATCCTGAAGAGAAAATGACAACAATTTGAAAAAGAAAAAAGTGTATTTATTTAAACAATGTCACATTGTAAAATGTCATAAATAGATGGAGAACGTTCCCCCTTTACTTTCATTTCTTGAAATTTTCCCATTAATAGTCCTTAAAATTCTTGTAAATATCGTTGGAAATATTACTTATAACAAGAGGAGGATTATTTCGGTCAAAAAAATTGTTACACCCCAAAAATTAAAAAAATACACATTTTAGGGTTAAAGGGTTTTAGGGTTATGTGAGTTTGTGCAAAATTCTCCTACAAAGCATTAATTTAGAAATATGACGTCAAAGACAAAAATATTTTCCATCAAATTTCACTATAAGTCAACAAAGAAGAGAAATCGCTATTTCTATTATAAGGCAAAAAAATGCTTGCATCAATGTTGCAAAAAAAAAACCATCCCATTTTTTCATCAATTTTTTTTCTTGGACATTTTTCGGGTTGGTGTATGTATTTAAATAAAATTTAATTTTAGACAGAATATCTCAATAGAAACAATATTCTACACAAAATTTCACTATACAGGGTGAAATAAAAAAAAATGGAACAAAGTCAAACGCCATAATTTTTACATTTTCTTTTAAAATTTTATTGAATGAAAACAAAACATTTTCATTTTTCAATATTTGCCGAATGCAATATTGCAATATGTTCAGCTCACGAGCCTTTTTTCGGCCACTGCGACGCGGGTTTCGATCAGGTCGCTTCTTTACTTTTCGAACCATTTTTGCTGATGTTGCTGTTTTCTTCCATCCGCTTCCTTGAAGTCGGGCTACGCTACCAGCATCCAGTATCACGGTAACGAGCGATGATACGAGACAAAATATTTATTCACATTTAAATGCAGGAGTGCTCTAACGATAGCCACTTGTGATTTTCCAGCCAAATGTGAAGAAAACACACTATCACGCTTGAATTCCATCACGAATAAGTTTTTTTCGGGAAAATCCTCACCAAAATGCTTTTGTACGCTTGTAAACAATATAATAAGCTGTCACTGGACTAATTTTAACAGCTGTTGGACGAGTGGCTTAGAAATGACCGCAGTCTTAAGTTGGTTGCAGTTTTTTCAAATGAAAAATGAGCTCGGGAAAAGCCATTGAAATTGCAAAAAGTGCAAGAACTTACACCGCAACACAAAGAAAATAGACTCAAAAGAGATAAAGAGTTGCTTCGCAGGGCCGAAAGTGGTGAACTGCCGAATTTGGTTTTTCTGCGATGAGAAAACATTCGTTTTCCAGAAGTTTGCGAACAAACAAAACCATCGTGTTTACTTGCCAAAGAGGACCTTGGACATTCCAACAGGACTCAGCACCATCGCACTCAGCGCGCGCCTCCCAAGAATGGTTACAAAATGAGGTTCCTCGCTTCATTTCCAGCGCACGATGGGCACCCAAATCTCTGAAAAATTTTGGAAAGCAAGGTTGGCACTAAAAATATCAAGGTGTCGATCAGAGCGACATTCGGGCAGCGTATGACGATAAAACCGCCTTTTGAAGGCCATAATTCGTGGCAAAGGTGGCCAATTCGAACAAATTCTACAATTTGGTGCTATTTCCGACATTTTTAGCTTTCATTCAATAAAATTTAAAAAAATGTAAAAATTGGGGCTTTTGACTTTTTTGCAGGTTTTTTATCTCACCCTGTAAATATAGCAAAATTTTGAAAAATCTCAAATTACATATAAAGTGAGCAGAGCCATGATTTTTTCCGAACTTTGACATACCTTCCTTAAAAATTGTAGATTTGGGTTCCATTCAGATAAGTTTTTATTTACTGAGGAAGTATATCTTTCAACAAACCTACTGATATTTTCTAATTTCGGTTCTCTTCTTGTTTAGAGATCCTCCAAAAAATTTATTCATAAAAAAAATGAACACATTTAATGAAAATTTTAAGTTTTTCCCAAAGATACGCTTCTTGACATTCCGATGTTATATTTTTTCCATTTTATTCATATGTTTATATATTTTTAATTTTAGGTCAAGCTGGTGTCAATCAGTTGGGAGGGGTATTTGTAAATGGTCGGCCCCTACCAGATTGTGTTCGACGGCGTATTGTGGAATTGGCGCTGTGTGGTGTCAGACCCTGTGATATATCCAGGCAACTATTGGTGTCGCATGGTAAGTTGAAACCCAAACCAGGGCCTCAATTCTTGTTCTATAAAAATGTGAAATGAAAACTTTTTAAAGGAAAGAAATGTCAAATGAAAAATCTTAGAAAGAAAATATTTTTCCTTTGATATTTTCATAGAACAAGAATCCAGCCCCAGTAATCTTAAAACTACTGGAGTTAAAATTAAAGACTAACGTTAATTAAAAAAATACATTCTCATCTGCAGGCTGTGTTTCCAAAATTCTTACACGTTTCTATGAAACGGGCTCCATACGGCCAGGTTCTATTGGTGGCAGCAAAACCAAGGTAAGTTGAATTGCAACTAAAAAAATTAAATAAATAAAAAATAGAAGATGGAATATTTTGAGTACCTGGTTATCATTACGCCTAAAAATGTCATAAAAAAAACAAAACAAGCAACAACATTAACACTTGACACTTTGTGGCTAAGTCAATATTTACAACAAAGTCAATAAAAGAAATCCACATGTTATTTAATTTTTATGTTCGGGGTAGAAGAAGGACCTGACCTGATATGTAAATAATTTGCTGAATAACAAAATAAATCACTACCCATAACATTAATAGAAACCTCCGCTCCCTTATGTACACCCTTTCACCCACAAATCTTATCTGTGTCCGGGGGTGTTAAACATGGCAATCAGCAACCATTACAAATCAATCTCAAACTCTTCGCTATGCCCTAAATATCTGTTTTATTAAACAAAGATAACAAAAAACAACAAAAAATATTCAATTTGTGTTGTTGTTGTTGTTGTATTATTTTGTTGTTGTCTATAAACCAGGAAATCTAACATTACCAATCAAAGATATCAGTTATTAACGGGAGATTGAGGTTGAACGTTCGCCATGTGTTCCATGTCAAGGAATTTCTCAGGACCCTGGTTGAGTTTGTTGGCCCGCCAGTCAGCCAGTCATTGGCATTAACTGTAACCGTTTAGCTCCCTAGAACATTTTTCTGGCCCTCTCCACAGAACATCAATCAGAAACCTTTAATTTATGGTCATGAAAATAATCTCCACAAAATGCCAACTTTATGGTTGTGGCAGCTACTGGCGGAGTTTCATTAGCAACTGGTTGTGCTGATTTAGAGACATTATCACGGCGGCGATACTGTTGCTGTTAACATGGTAGCAGTTAGATAACAACAAATGATTTTGAAATTTGTTTACGTATTTACGCCTCGGAATTTGGCATGGCATGGTTTGATTTTTCGAAATAAATACCTTTGCCGGAGTTTTCAATATTTCCAATGAAAATATTTTGAAAAAAAAAAAAATAACCGAAAGTGCTAAAAAGGTCGAGGGGTAGCACATCCATTGAAAATATGTACCCGTTTCTGTGATAAATAATGGACAATGGAATTTTTGGGTCCTGTTTCCGTATTTCGATACGAAAGAAGATGCGGAAAACATAATTTCCAAAATGTTACTATTTTTTTAGGCTATAAATTTTCTTATCGTTACCATTTAGCTTCAATTAATTTTTCTTTCTGCAAAATAACGGCGTTCATAGGTTGGTAACAGACCCTTATATGGCCTAGTTCCCAGTTTTCTTTGAAAGAAAATTAATCTGGAATCTGTAAAGATGTCAATGTTGATATCAGCCCATATACTCGGTGGCAATTCAGTTGTCATTTTGGATTTCGAAATATCAATTCATAGTCATTTCGGGTGGAGAATCTGGTAGAGTCTTTAAACATCCAAAAACAACCGCACGAACTTTATGGAGCTTATGTCGAAACGTGGATCGATATAACAACAGACAGACGGACATTGCCGAAATAGCTACTTTTCTAAAAAATTTTTGTGGAAAAAAATTTTTCGGCTCCATGAAATGGCTATAAAATGCATTTCTGTGTACCAGACCCCCGAAAAACACGCTCAAATTTCTACAAAGAGTGAGACTCACTCGAATTCGAGCGGGAGCACTCCTGGGAGTAGAAAAAATTGAGTAAAAATTTAGTTTATGTCGCTCTAATAGGAGTGAGCATATTTTTCCCGTATCTGAATGGGAGCTAATTTCATTCAAAATCGAGCAGATTCTACTCTTGCGTCAATTTACATTAACTATTAAATTCTTTTTATGAAGACCTCAGGGTCAATTATTAGTTTTTTGAGACAAATATTCGCCCAAAATGTCTCTGTGAATATATGTATGTATCATATTCAGTTCCTTTATTTCTTGATTTCTATTAATCTAGCTTCCTAATTATACTTCAAACCACCATTCACCCACACACCTTTACAACAACACCCCACTAATTAACCCTTAACAAAAATACTTTTGTTTAACTAAATTGGTGTTGTCATTTAATGGTTAATCAATCATTTGTTGATAATTAATAAAAAATTAAAGGTTTTGGATTCACACAATTTGTACACAAGACAAATACATGGGAAGCGCTCAAAATACCACTACACAAACAACAGCACACGTTCTCCGCTCTCTCTCTCGTATCTAGAGAGGGGCAATAGAAAATCAATCGTCACATAAACACCCACTTTTGTTCAAACAACGACAACAACATTGTTTGGCACCTTATCGAGATTTTCGAATTGTTGTTGTTTCATTCATTCGTTTTTTTTTTGTTTGAGAACAAAACGTGCATTTAACACCTCTCTTTTTGTGGTAAGTGTGTGTTGTTAGCTGTTATGTGTGTTAGCCCTTTTTTAAATAATGCCCATATGAATGAGTATGTCCACCCATGGCCAAACTGGCGGCTCTAATCATTAGAATAGTGTTGGCGTGTTTTGTTACAATTTCTGTGTGATAGAGATCTCAAGGTATACACGGAACTACCACTTTTGTGTTTCCCCCTCCTTCGCTCTTTCTCTTTCTTCCTCCGACAAAAATTTCATTTCTTGTGTCCGTCCACAAATATTTCCGATTTTTTTATGAATTTTTAATGAACTGCCAAGTCACACGTCATTCGAGTTATCCATTCCGGCGGTGGTGGTGGTGTTCTTCTTTTTGTCCAAGTGTCCGTGTGTTTTTGTTTCACTTCATTATACCCACAATGAATTGTAAAAAAGGACTACTTTCAAAGGATACAAAGGAAAGAGCAGTTATATCTTTGTTCCTTACATCAAATGGGCGTTTGAATTTGTAAAATTATTCCGACACTTGGCTGAGTGAATGGTGGATGGAGAGCAAGGTTGATGTGTTAATAGCAGATCCGAAATGTGGAAAATTTTGGGCAACCATAAATATATGATATAGTTGTCGTATTTTCGAACCTAAAAAGTAGAGGAAGATCTAAAGTTTTTGTGAAAATTGACTTGAAAGGAGACACCAATTCTGTTCAATTTTGAATCATCATAGAGAAACATACCCTAAATGAAATACATTAAGAGAGAGAACACAACCTGAATATTTCCACTTTGCTTCACTGCTTCAGAGAGAGCAGAGAAAAACGCAGCAGGATGTTTAAAAAATCGTAGATGTAAAAGGTAAAAAAGGTAAAATTCAGTGTATAACCCCAATAACTTTTTTTTGGCGAATTAACCATTAAAAAATTCGCGAAAGAAGCTAATTTTGGAATTTGGTGATTTCGGAGCATATCTGGTTGCATATCGACCCCATGCTAAATTTCCTGTAGATCGGTCCATAATTGGGGCCATGAATGGATTACAAGTTATAATGGACAGACGGGCTAGATTGATTCTGCCTGTGGAGATATAATGATCGGCCAAAACCAATTTGTAATAATCTCCCCCACAGAATGGGGGCAGGGTATAAACAAATGTATTTTTAATGAAGTGGAGGAAATTTCAAATTTTTTTGAAGATATGTCGGGAAACTAATATTTTACCCGCCTAGCAAGGAGACAATATATCACAAAAAAAAACGGACAAAAAAGCACGTGAGCTCGGTTCGAACATATAAAAACACCCTCCACGATTTGAAAGAAACTTTATAATTAAAAAAAAAAACCTGTGCAAAAAATACGAAGACGTATATCTTTGAGAAAGGCTGTATATTTTTTGAGATAGGCTGTTGCACCCATTTCGAACTTCAAATATGAAATTTGAAACAATTCCGATTGATAATGTCGCAAAAAATCAGAAAATTCCGAACTTCAAATACGAAATTTGAAACAATTCCGATTAATAATGTCGCCAATATCTTCAAAATCCCGAATATTGGGAGATACCGTTATGTGTGGGCTATACAAAGACCTGGACCGGCATAGACAATTGTCTGTCATAGGTTGAAGCAACCATTACGAACTTTTAATACGACAATTTTAAACAATTCCGATGGAAAATATCTCTAAAATCATCAAAATAACGAAGATCGGGAGGTATCGTTATATGGTGGCTATACGAAGACGTGGAACGGCATACGCAAATTTTTGTCATAGACTGTAGTATACGTTACGACCTTTAAATACGAAATTTGAAACAATTCCAGTAAGTAATGTCTCTAATACCATACAAATACAGAATATAAAGGGCCTACACGAGGGCGTGGACCTGCATAAGTATTTTTTTTGGACACAGGCTGTAGTACCTATTACGAACTTTCAATACGAAATTTGAAACAATGTCTCCGGAATCAGTAAAATATCGAATATTGAGAGCTATCGTTATACGGGGGCTATACGAAAACATGGACCGATATGACCCATTTAAAAACTTACACATATCTGCAAAATTTTAGCCTTCTACCTCAACTCATTCATATGATTTTTTGTCACAGGCTGTAGTACCTAATACGAACTTTTAATACGAAATTTGAAACAATTCCGGTCTATAATGCCTCTAGAATAATTAAAATACTGAATATTGAGAGTAACCCTTTATATGGAGTTTATACGAAAACATGGACCAACATGACCCATTTGCGAACTTACGCTGCCTACTGGCAAAATACACATGTGTGCAACATTTTAGCCTTCTAACTCACTTTGTGCAAAAGATAGCGGATTACAACTGACGACTGGCAAACGGACATCGCTAAATCGACTTCAAATTTTACTATGGTCCAGAATATATATATACTTTGAGGTCAATCATTTATTGGGTCTCCTCCAAAAGTAGAGGGTATAAAAATCATTATTAAAAAAAATATTTTTCAAATAGCGGTACCAAAATTAGAACTTCCGAGTCGTATCGTGGTTTCCTACTTTCTATGAAGTGAAATTCGGCTTAAAAATTACCATTGAGCAGTGGAAATTCAAAAATTTCAAAAAAAAGCTGATGCACTTGAAAATTTTAACTGATATCCTCAAAATACCAAAAATCTGGAGGTAGTGTGACTTAAAAAAAAAATGGACCGATGTAGCCCATTTTCAATATCTAATCGTTCTAAATCTAATGCAAGCCCTAGAGAAAAAAATTGAAAAGTTCCTCAGGAAGTGGTGTGGCCTTTCCTTGATTTCAAATAGCTTGTCTTTTTTTTTTTTTTTTTTTTTTTTTTTGAATTAAAAGGGGAGTTTGAATACATAATGCATTTTTTCACAAACATGCATTGTGTTTTCGAACGCCCCTTTTAACCTGGAAAAAATAAGCAAGCAACATATTGCGTGTCACTGATTTCAATCTGGCGTTTTAAAAAGTCATAAATGTCTGACATAAAATCACAATTGAAATTTCACGCTTTTTAATTGTTTGCCGCTCGCAAAATTCTGGCACGAAAGTTTAAAATTCTTATTTCCTCTCCTCTTACATTCGTTTATGTCGTATTTAACTATTTTCTTTGGTACTAATTTCCCCCTCTCTCTCTCTCTCTTTTCCATTCCAGCAAGTGGCAACACCCACTGTGGTAAAGAAAATCATACGCCTGAAGGAGGAAAACAGCGGCCTCTTCGCCTGGGAGATACGGGAACAATTGCAACAACAACGTATCTGTGATCCCAGTTCGGTGCCCTCGATAAGTTCCATCAATCGGATTTTACGCAACAGTGGCTTGTGGACCGATGAAATGACATCAAATCAACAAAATGCTGCTGCGGCCGCCGCAGCTGCTGCAGCCTCGGGTAATCACACAGCCACTACCGGCAGTACTGCACCCTACTCCCTACCCAATCAATTGTACAGCAATTCATCCAATCCCTTGCCTCCGGCGGTTAGCGAAGCTGCAGCAGGATTTCCACACAATCGCTCGGCCCATGCCCAACAGACCATGGCCTTGGCCAGCTCATATCGCTATGCTGATATCAACATGCCGACGGCTTCCAATACACCAGCTCATGCCGCAGCATCCGAACATCCCATTAAACCATCACCAAAACATCCCATGGTGGGTCTGGGAGCCACACCCTCCACCTCCACGCCCCAGCTGACACCACAAGATCTTTCCTATTCGGCGGCATTGCAAAAACATTGGTTTTGGAATCCCTCTTTGCTCTACTACACCCAACATGTTCAGGCGGCCACTCAATTCTTGCCCTATGCTGCCAGCCATCCGGGACAAACTCCAACGGCTGCCTATTTCCCTGCCTCCATGCATGGTGGTGGCTATACCAAATCTGAGAGTTCAATTGATTTGACAACACCCTCGGCCGGGGATGCGCTCAGCGACTGTGACAGTGGCAAATCATCGCCGGCCACCATTAACTTAAGTTCCACCTCCACATCATCGTGCAACAACAATGCCACAACCAACACCAACAGTCGCAAACGTAATCCCTACTCCATTGAAGAGCTGTTGAAAAAACCTGAAAAACGTATGCGTCTCAGTGGCACACAAAGCCACCTACACTCCTCCGCGTCGGGCGCCCTGAGATTAAGTCCCAAAAAGGATGATTGCAACATAAGCCTCTGTTCGGCCAGCAGTAGCCACAGCAACAGCAGTCACATTAGCTGTGTGGGTGATGATAGCTGCGATGAGGCCACCACTCGTTCCCCGCTCCACAATCCGGCCAATGGCAACAATGATGCGGAGGAAAATTGTGAAACCGTTGAAGTGGTCAATTGAGGAGGCAATGTGAAAGGCGAATGGTGTCCAAATTTGTGTTATTTTTTGTTGGTAGCTGTTTATTTAAGTTATTCGAAAGAGAGAGAGAGAGCAAGAGAGTATTCTTAGTCGTTTAGAGATTTAGTTTAGTAACAGCATGGCTATGGCTGACCAATGACCTTGAGGGTTATGTTGTAACTTCTTGATAAGCGTATTTATGTATTTTAATTTAGTTAGTTTAAGTAGCCTGAATGATTTTTAGCCTTAGATGAAAAAAAAAGTAAAAGAAATTGCAAACTATTACAAATAAAATAAAATCGGTATGAAAATAAATGCTTGAATCCAAAATTAAAGAAGAATTTTGAGGGTTTTATTTATTTTTCAGGAAGAAAGGGAGGGAAGATATATGATCATGAATCAGAGGTACAAAGGGCGTATACGTGTTGGCATTAATTATAAGCAGGGTAGTGTGAAACGAGTCTGTTGTCTATGACTTCACCATGTGATGAGGGTGGAATCATTTTTTCATTCCATCCTTAAAATATGTACCTGGGACCCCATGAAAGTCATCAGAATAATATTCAAGGTTCAATAAGCCAAGTCCTTTCTGTTTTTTTTTTTTTTGAAATCTAGATGAAGACCAGATTATATATTGTTGAGCCTTAGAATTGTTATATAATAAAAACAGTTGAAATGATAACTTCGAAATTTTGTATTGAAAATGGTCCATGTCTATGTATACCCCATAAAAAAGTACTCGCCGATTTGTAGATCCTCCACCATACAATGGAGGGTATATTAACTTTGTCAAAATTTGTAAATCCTTGAAATACTCATGTCACACTTCAAAAACGTGAAATTCGAAGTCAATTTCTGTCTGTTGTAATCAGACCATCTTTCAAACAAATTGAGATATAAGGCTATAATTTTGCACACATTTGTATTTTGCCAGTAGGCAGGATAGGTTCATAAATGAGTCATGTCGATTCATGTTTTCGTGTAGCTCCCATATTACGATACCTCCCAATGTTCGGAATTTTGCTGATTTAAGCGACATTATTTAGCGAAATAGTTTCAAATTTCATATTTGAAGATATTAATTAGTACTGCAGCCTAAGACAAAAAATTGCGTTTCCACGTCTTTGCATAGCTCCCATATATTGATATCTCCCGATATTCGGTATTTTTATGATATTAGAGATATTATAGACCAACATTGTTTCATATTTGGTATTTAAAGCTCGTAATGGGTACTACTGACTTTCACAATATTGGTTAGGAAGGTCTACGTCTTCGTATATCCCAGATATAACGATACCTCCAGATATTTGGTATTTTTTATGATTTTTAGCGACATTATTTATCGGAATTGATTCCAATTTCGTATTTGAAGTTCGTAAAAGATACTTTAACCTAATACAGAAAATGGACTATGTAGGTCCACGTCCTCATATAACCCACATAAAAAGGTATCTCCCTTTTTTCGGAATTTTAATGATAAAATCGACGCTATTTACTGGAATTTTTTTTAACTTCGGTATTTTAAGTTTGAATCGGTACTACAGGCTATGACAAAAATTGCGTATGCAGGTTCATGTCTTCGTATACTTCGTAGTAAGTTCGTAAATAAGCCATGTCGGTCGGAATTGATTCCGATTTCATATTTAAAATTCGGAAAAAATACTTCAACCTAATACAGAAAATGGTCTATGCAGGTCCACGTCCTCATAATACCCACATATAAATTTATCTCCCTTTTTTCGGAATTTTAATGATAAAATCGACGCTATTTACCGGATTTTTTTTTTTAAATTTCGTATTTGAAATTTGAATCGGTACTACAGGCTATGACAAAAAATTGCGTATGCAGGTTCACGTCTTCGTATAGCCCCCCAAAATATCGCTGTTTATTTAATCGGTATTTTCCTACGACATTTTTTTTTTAAATTTTCAAGTTCCTTCCGAATTTTTGAGGGTATTAAAAGTTCGGCCCGGCTGAACTTAGGCGCTTTTTTGACTTGTTGATATTTTGAATGTTTCAGCCACAAATCCGAGTTTGTCGACACCAACTGTAAAGCTTCTTTGTCTTCGCAAGTTTATTTATAGATTCCCCAGATTGTCTTCGACAGATTTCCCCTCTCAAAGGGCCGACTATTTTCTAATGTTTCCAGTGACATTTCTGTAATTTTATTGTCATTCCTGTCTTTATCTTCCATGGCTGGACATTCACAGTAGTCTTGCAATAGAACTCCTCTACCAATTTTCCAGTTCAATTATTTTTTTTTTAATTCGTAGGATGTGACGGAAGCCGTGCTATTTTCCACCTTATGTACCGATGGTCAGAAAAATAAAGACCTTTACACAGGGGCATCGGCATGTCGAAGAAATCCAATCCGATTCTGAAACCCTGGATTAACCCAATATTTGTATCATATTTGATTAATTAATAGAGTTTTTGATTTTCTTCCTGGGCCATTGACCCTTCTGTAGACAGACTTCCAGGGAGTTTCTCTGTAGACGCACAGCGTCATTGTTTCTTTGAGACATAGGCTTCTCGATATCCTTGGTGGCCTGTTCGTCCGCGCCAATTTTTGCCAATTTCCTACTTCAAATCAAAGAATCTCTTTCCTTTGTTCGGGAAAGGAACCACTCACACTCCAGCTTTAGTTTGACACCAAGAGAGGTGTGATACTGCCTAGGAAAAATTTGAAAGTTTATATGAAACCTCGTTCGGGACAGTCTAAAGCTGTTGGATTAACCCATTATGGATATCACAAACACTTTTTGATCCTTAATCCAATGGAAGTTATTCTAATTACGGCTTCTAGTTCATGGGCCCTCTAGTTGACGGTTTTTTCGGAGACAAAAACAGCAGAATGTAGCCATTGTGAAGGGGAAGGTTAGCAATGCCCATAAACCATTTTTACGTCACTGATCGCTTCTACTAGTTGTGGGTTCTTTATTACTAAGAGGATATTATTTCCTCGCTATTCATGATATTCTCGTCGCATAGAAGTCCCAACATTTTTTCTTTTCACAAGGCTTCGTCAATATGGTTAGCAGAATCCTTCCACAGGGTGGTTGTAATCTTAGTGCTTTTCCAGGTGGAAGACTTCTCATTTCTTCGACATCCAACTTATGGTTTTGCCATTTCCTTTTGCCCATTCCTTGGTTCTTTAAAATTGGGACTTTTACAAAGATTTGAGGTGCTCCTAACCACCTTCCAGAGAGATGACAGTGTAGTTGACCCATACATCTCAGTTGACACTTTTAGTGGGATCACCCTTCATGACTTTGGCTGGCCTTCTTAGTCTTAAACTTAATTTAACTTCAACTTCTTCTGTTAATACAGGGTTGCCCATATTCGACGGACCTTTGGGCCCATTCCAATCGATGAGGCTTGTCCGCAGGCAGCATTCTTTGCGTCAATTGAATTTTGTACGGGAACAAATGCAAATCAATGCGAATAATCTGTTGTAAAGTGGACCGAGCCATGTCCAACTGCTGAGAACGGCGTTTTTGGGGTGTTTTTGGGGACCTCTCAACACTGGCTCGTACGGCAGCGATATTCTCGGCCGATCGCCTTGGTCGACTTTTATATGGCCTCTTAGGAATAGAAAGAGCCTTACCAGTCGAAAATTTTTTTTTGCGGGGAAGAGTGAACAGCAGCAAATCAACCAGCTGATGTTCGGCTCACAATCTTATTTTTTTTGTCTCATTCGAATTATCCAGTCGTCAAAAAATTCCCTTAGTTTTATTAGGAATTAATATGAATGAGCCTCGAAGAAGAAATAAACCTAGGCATGTAGAGGGTTACAATCGTCCGAAGTTCTCAAAATGTACCTCGAATTCAATTTCGTTCCACTTTTTAGCGTTTAATCAGAATTTCTTCTCCTCCTCCTATAATCTCCTATAATCATTATTTTTATAAAAATCTGTCAATATTCCGAAATATTCCTATAAATTTGTAAACATCAACTAAATGATTCATTATTTGAGGGTGCTCACCCCATATTTATCAATTTTCCCGAAACTTGAATTCGTTAAACTTTCTCTCAAACCCCATTTCCATTCTCTTTAATACCAGCGAATTAAAATAATCATCGACGAGTAATCAAGGCGATGATTTTACCTCCCATCCTCAGCATCCTCACATCATTATTTGGTAGTTGACGCTGTAACGAGATATGTAATTTCTTGCCATACATATCGTTATGCATGCTGTTGCAAACGGTCCATTAACCACTATGCCGTTCTCCATTCATTTGGCCATTATAAGCCAGGGAGGAGTAGAGCACAGACTACTCGGGCTCAGTTAAATGTTTTAATTTTATGTAAATTTTTAATAACCAATTGCCATTTACAGAGCCGAGTGACGGACAGACGGTCAGATCGAATGGTGTTGACGTTCATGTTGCGCATGATCCATGGTGTTATGTTTCTTGTTGTTATTGTTGCTGCATGAAATTCCGAATTCCAACACAGAAATAACAACTTCCAAGCGATCCAAAACCAAGCAACCATCCAGCCAGCCAACAGCATTGCTGCACATACCGAGCCGGGTATGCGACACTTGAGCAATGGACAAAACTTATTTCACACAATACAACCATATAGAATTTACAACTTAACTTGTGCAGCCTGGTGGTCACATGGCGTGAGTGTTACACTGCTCCTCGGCTCCCCTCATGTCGGAGAGCTACTTCTTCTTCCTCTGTTTCATTTACTGAATTGTAAGTCAATGGAAAAGCTTGGGAAGCAGCCACTCACTCAGCTTGGCCCAGTATGCACCGTGAGTTGGAAAAATGCCTGCACAGTTGGTGGTCCTCACGGCTGTTGCCAGTAGTGAATCACTTTGGCCCGAAGACTTACTTTATGTCTGTCTGTCCTCCCCTTTCCTTGGTTGGGGACAAAAAAAAACTATCAACCATGGACTACGCGATACCTATTAAACGACACCAAAAATATTGCCGCAAATCAGCAGAGACACAGCCACATACTTACATGGTAATGAAGTCGCTGGTCAATGAATTGAAAGTCCACAAAATCTTGGTCGGAATAAAATGCTAAAAGGGTAAGGAGATGTTCGTCCATCTGTTGTATTCACTCAAATTTCCAAAGGAATTGAGGTAGTCAACTGAAATTTTGGTTTTGGTTACAGCTGCCTTAAGTTCGATGGGTTCAGAAATTTCGTATATCCCCCAGTATAGCGACCCCTTTCAATTCCAATTGTAATACCCTCCACCATTCTATGGAGGGTATATTAACTTTGTCATTATGTGTGTTACTCCTCGAAATTCTCATGTCGAACCCAACAAAATATATATATTCTG